TTTTTTTTTTTTTGGGGAGGGTTTTGCGCATTTCCTCCATATAACGCATGATCAAAATATATATTCATATATTATTATATATATTTTTATTTTTATATGAAAAAACTCCGCAGCACCCTCCACAAAAAAAAATTCTAAAAAATCAACGGTAATAAAAAAACATGAGTAGCAAACAATATCATTTTGAATTTCGGTGCTAATTAGTTGACCGCAGGTATATATATATAGCTAATAGCGCTTTGTATTTACATATATATTTTCTGGTAATTTATTTGTAAACTTTTATATACAAATATACAAATGTATGTACATATTTAGATGCTTTATCTCATTTTAAAAGCGCAATGTCAGGTGGTCGAAACCATAATGATTTTCCTTCTACCGCGTCTATTTTAAATTTTGGATTTTAATTCTTGCTGCATTCAAAATTTTTTGGTTGCTAATTGGCAAAAATAAATCACATTTGTATACAAACATCCATACATGTGCATTGCGTATGTACATTCTACATACAGTTGTCCACAAAATAATAGGAGTGCGATATTTTGACCAAATTTTTTCTTTTCTTTTTGATTGTTTATTAATTTTTTATGAAAGTATAGCTTGTTATATAACAAAACCACATAAATTCAAATTTCAAACTTTGTTCAAAAAATTATACAAAATCAACAAAATCTCAAACTTTTTATTCAAAAATTTTAGGAACATTTTTCTTATGCAGTTGTATAGCACATTAAATTTTAGTACAATAAAGTGCAAGTTTGAAATAGGTACACAAGACAAGTTTTTGACGGTATCACGCATTATGGAAGAAAATTAAATTTTGGATTTATGTAGTTTTTGATAGTGGGGTAAACTTTTATTTCAAACTAATATACATTAACCAAACGAAAGAACAATAATCAAAACTGGTCAAAATATCGCACTCCTATTATTGACACTGTCATTGTTGTTATAATATGCTTGTATTGCCTTTCATTTATTTGCTTTATTTTGTCTGCGGCTTTTTGCTGCTTATTAATATTGTCCTAAGTAAGAGCGCTTGTGACATGAAGTGTTTAAGTAGTGCGGACGCCTCGAAATGCTGTAAACACCTGCCAAAATTAATACGTTTCACAGTTGCAAATAGCCAAGATAATTTCATTTGAACGAAAATTACACATACATACATACATACATATGTACATTCGGACATATAAATAAATGTCTATTGAGTGGGTGATGTGCAGGGTTAAGGTGGGGTCCTTGGTGTGATGGCTTCTTGATCAAGACTATAATAGGCAATTACAATTATGATCACATTTGCGAAACTTGAATTTAATTAATTTAATATAGAGTTTTAATTAAAAAAATACATGCATACATAGTATGTACAATAGGGCGGGTCAATTTGTATGGGTTATTTTTGCGACTATGCGCGTATAGTACAGAAGGATTCTACGTGTAATCGTAAGCAAATTTGCCGAAGAAACCATGGGTCTAAAATAAATTTGGAGTATGTCTTATGTACATTTGTCTGTATCTATTTTGTAAGGGGGGAACTGAAAGTATTTGAGATCAGATTGCAATAGTGAAATTATTTTGCAGTTGGTCTACACAAATTATTTCTTTATTTTTAATAATGTTCATTAAAAAAATATATTTCGATCTATAACATAAACTACAGAAATAACAAGTAGTTATTAAGCAAAAACCAAACCCACTTCAATTGTCATATAAAAATTTAGGAGTACCGTTAACTTCTTCATGATTCAATGATCGGATGTGACCACCTCGGAGATACCACCTTTCCTTTAAAAAAATAATTATACAAAACGGTTAACGTGGTCCAAAGTTATGCGGTAACGACCTTTCATCCTTTTTTTGAAGTCGGTTAAAAATTTCAAAAATTGCACAAAGTTCACAAAAAACTAATCAAACTTCAAACAATTTTCCTCAAAATTTCAAACTTTTTATTTAGAATTTTTGGAAATTTTCCGAGTATACAAATTATACAAAATCAACAAAATTTCAAACTTTTTATTCAAATTTTTAGGAACAGTTTTGTTATGCAGTTTTGTAGCCCAATCAATTTTAGTACAATAAAGTGCAAGTTTAAAAGTCACTAAAAACTACGTTGATTTTATAGATTTTTTTTATCGGGGTGTTCAGTATTTTCTTCCAAAATTATTTTTATATGGAGAAAATGCGCAACATCTTCGACAAAAAAAATTTCCATACCCAAAAATGTTCTAAAGATTAAGATTTTTTTTGCTTTTGTGATTTAAAGTTACTTCTTAATTCTTTATAAGAACTAATTGGCCAGCAAAAAAAGATTCAGATTTAAAAGTTGAAAAAGGGCAATTAAGTGTTACCATTATAAAAATGAATATTTTCTTTATGTACATGCAAATGAATTTCATTGGGTTAATCCAAAAAAAAAAAAACTGACAAATGAATTATCTTTAAAACTGTTATCAGCAGTTTTCTGACCCATTCCCGGAGAAGCGCTTGTTTGAGATATTCAACCCTCTGATATTCATTCATTAATTCAATAAAATTTATTTATAAATACAGAAATTATGATATTTTTATTTGGTAACACTTAAATTGCCCCCTCTTGTATAAAACAATCAATTCACCATTTAAATAAAATACTTATAAGGTAATAAATACCAAGGAATACCGTAGTGAAATTATTAAAATATGTACATGCTAGGATTTTATCAGGAGATGGGCTCATGTTTCATAAATGTACGTAAATATGTATCTGTAGAACTGCAGTGCGCTTTTTAAACCTCTGTCCTATAAATATGTAAGTATTATTAAAAGATTGATGTCTATGGCCAAACAAGCAGTCGCTTTTTTTCTTTTGTTAAATTTGTATTTTTTTTTGGGATACGTGTATTTTTATACACATTTCCATGCATATGTACACGCATATATGCGCATTTTTGTCAAACATAAATTTTGCAAACAGTTTTAGTGCAACGAAAAGCGCCTTTTAACTTGTGCCGGCTCACTTTTTTATTTTATCACATTTTGCTCAAAGAAATAAATCAAATAAATGCTCAATACTTATGTATTAGATGTTGTATAAATTGTTTCTGCTGATTTTATTTTTTTTTTTTCATGTAAAATACTAGTTAAAGGCTTTTTATTAAAACCAAAAAAAAAAAAAACCGCCGATTTTGCTTTTCCTTACTGACCGATCCGCTGCAGCTTACAAGAATTATTAAAACAAACGAAACTAGGCAACGTTATGTTTGCAATAAATAATAAAAACAATTTACATTACTTTAAATTAAAATTTCGATATTCTTGTTTCTCGTAACCCACAAACGTTTATTTCGAAATGCGGTGGTTTTTTTAGTTACATGGAAGTAAATAATCAGCCCGATGAACTTTCATTATGTATACGCCCCGGTGCCTTGCACAAACAGAAAGGAGAGCCAACTCATGCGACTATTACTATTTTCGAGGTATACAATTCAAATATCCCACATTATCTCTTTGCCATTAACGAAATATGTATGCATTTAATTTTAATGTGAATATATTTTATTAAAAATAAAAATCTGTTCAATTTCAATCTAACAGCAATTCAATAAGTACCTTGGAAAAAGCGCGTTTGTAGCACAGCAAATCCTTAATACATTTTATATAATATCTAACATTTTTTCTAGCAATTTTACATCTGTTACCATCAGAATAGCAGCTTTTTAATAAAAAAAAAAAGTAGACAATATTTTCCACGACTCTTCTGCTAATAACTCAATGCCATTATTATGCTTGTATAAAATAGTATCGATTTTGTTTTTTTTTCTTGATATAAAGATTTTTAAAAAGTTTGGTAATAGATTTTGTATGCTTTGCTTGCTTACTGTTTTGCTGTTTTCCAAAATGCATACGATTGCAAATTGGCATATCTACATGGTTGCGCATTTAGAGTTCACTGTATTTTATGATTTTGAATTTAAAGATATTGATGCGTTTTGGAAAACGGCCTATCTGTCACAAAGGACGAACAAAGGATTAGTGTAAACTTTCTTTCCGTTGCAGCAGATAGCGACTGCATATCAAATTTACTATTTATTAACAACTACTCTTCCTGCTTCTTATTCTTTTATTTCGATCTAAATAGAATTCGGATGATGCACTTGGCCGTTATAACTGTAACTATGAGAATTGCAACCGCAGCTATAGTACCATCGGCAATCTACGCACGCATTTGAAGACACACAAAGGTGAAATGGATTTTTATTTTTATGTGGTTTGGGTTAGTCCTTATTAATCAGAGTTTTAAAAGAATGTTTACGTAGCGGAATTATAAAATTACTTAATGGGTAGCAGGCTGTTAAGTGTCTTGACTGGCAAATAGAAACTTTTTTCGAAACTGCGTTTTTCACAGATTTTGGTAGGATATATTAAAATACAACTTCAGTAAAAATTTAAAAAACAACGGACTTATGCCACTTTTTAAAACGCCCTGTTCGTATGCATGATTTGATTTCTATAATGTTTTTTGCTTCTCCTGTAAAATAAAAAATTTGTTGGTTAGGTCCTTTGTGACTTAAGATAACGATATACTTTTCTACCACAAACTATCAGGGCCGTCGAGAGAAAGCTCGGGCTCGGGACTAAAAAATCACGGGCCCTAAAAATTTTTAAATTAATTATTAATTTAAAAGCATATGAACCAAATCACCGAAAACGAAACAGAGGGGAACAATTTTTTTCTCAGGTTTCGCAGATTTTTGATGATATCTGGGCCATACATATTCTGAGTTAACCGACAACATAAATACTAACACGAATCTCCTTCTCTCAAACATGAAAATTCACTTAGTCCTGAGACACCTTTAAATTAATGAAAATTTAAAAAGCAAAAAATTAAATTAAGGGTGTTCATATTTAACGGCCACCATATTTTGCATTATACTTGCTTCTCTTCGATTGCCTTGTATCACTTTGAAGTTAATAAAAAAAAGTATTCGATAAAATAATCAGCGATTAACTTTCTTAATGAAAATAAAGTCGGCATCAAAAAGTTTTTGACGCGTAATCCACCAGGCTAAAAAATGGAAAAATCTGGTTTTCTTCGAGCATTTTCGGCCTTNAGTATTCGATAAAATAATCAGCGATTAACTTTCTTAATGAAAATAAAGTCGGCATCAAAAAGTTTTTGACGCGTAATCCACCAGGCTAAAAAATGGAAAAATCTGGTTTTCTTCGAGCATTTTCGGCCTTCTTCATTATCCATGTGTTTTCTGTGCAAAACTATTTGTAACGTTAAGTCTTTTTTACTACATTTTTTTTATTGCATTTGATTTGCTGAGGGCGAGCGACGGATTGTCAAACTTTCGTTCTCGAAAGCATAATGTAGGCCCTTTCATAAAAAGCAACACTGCCGCATTTATTACAGCTGAAATACGCCCTGTGTTTTCAACGACCGTTTTTGGGAGCACATGGTGGATTTTTTTTAGTTGGCCAAGACACATATCAGTCTGTTTTCTTATAAAGTAATGTCAACTCCTATATAAAGTCCGCTAGAAGTTATGTAGTTACAAATTATTATGAATTTGGCTGGTTCTTAGCAAACGCGTTTTTATTTATGTATGTTTTGCATTGCTCGCTTATGCAGTAAAATTATTAATTTTTTGAACGCACACAGGTGAATATCGCTTCAAATGTACTGAAGAAAGTTGTGGCAAAGCTTTTCTAACATCGTACAGCTTAAAAATACACATTCGGGTGCATACCAAAGTGAAACCCTACGAATGCGAAATAACGGGTTGTGAAAAGGCTTTCAACACGCGCTACAGGTAGGACCCAATTTAATATTGGAGAAGTCAATTTCATCAATTACAAAAAACTCCCATATTTACATATATCCTATATACAGTTACTAAAACAAGTTAACACGTGTTGATTTTTTATAAATGTTTTTATTTTTCTATAAAAATTATGTCCAAACTTAAACCAAAACCATATAAACCACGGTTTTAAACTTTATATAAAATTTAAGAAAATTCAAAAAATTTTTATCAAAATTTCAACATTTTAATCTGAATCATTAGACTATTTTTGGCCATGTAGTTTTACAGCCAGCCAATGGTTAAAGCTTGCGACAATATTTTTT